GTGCCTCTCTTCGGCAGCCTTGACCTTCTTTTGCAACTCGTCCTGCTCCTTCTCCAAAGCTGCGAAGGGGCGAAGGGGCGAAGGGCGGCATGGATAGAGATAATTTTGAGTTGGTGGCATACAATCTTGCAGACGAGACCACCGATACACACCAGTCAAGCGCTTCTCGCAATTGCCAATCTGACGCTTCACATTTGCCAATTCTCGTTTTCTGCTCTCGGCACTTGTGGCACCAGCAGCGGCACCAGCTTCGCCAGCGATGAGCAGATTCTGAGCATTCAGAGCTTCCAATCGAGCAGTTGCACCGTCTCTTTCTCTCTTGAGATTATCGTCCAGCTCAATCTCCAGCAAGCGCTTCTGGCTAGCCAGCTGCGGTGTTGGGGGTTTAGCCGCCGCCGCTCTGCATGTCCCATAGACCATCTCTGACTCACCTCGCTGAGGGTAGCCGACTGTTCGGCAACTACCTGACGCTGAGCGTCCAGACGAGCATTGAGCTGATCCAGTTCTGCGCTCTCTTGATTGCTCAGACCAGCACTCAATGGCGTCTGCAATTCCTGCTGAAGCGCCTGAATCTTGAGTCTAGCGGCGTCGATCTCGCGCTCCACGCCAGCCTCGGCATCGTGTAGATGCTCCATTCTTCGTCTGGCATTGCCTTCGTCTTCTCGCAAGGCGCTGAGGTCAGCAATGAGTGCATCCCTCGTCGCGGCAGCTCTGACGCTTTGCACTTTGAGCTTCTGCAACGATCCTTCGATCGTTGCCACTTCCTGCTCAACCTGCTGGATGGCCGTCTTGACTTCGTTCAACGAGCTCGTCGACGTTTCGTATACTTCGCGCCATTTCTTGACATCTCGCACCGCGTCCAGACGCGACCTGCGCGGGTCGTGGTATCCTCCGTGCAGAGACCCCTTGCGCTCAACCCGATCACCATCCAGCGTAATGGCATTCAAGCCGTGACTGCGCACGTAGGCGCCAGCAATCTCCAGGTTAGGGCAAATGATGGTCTTGCCAAAGACCTGGATGAAAGACTGCGCGTCAGCGACGTCGAGGAACACACAAGAAGATTCTTCGTGCTTCGCACCTGTTGCAATGCAGCCACGTATTTTCGGTCGTACTCGAGCTTCTTGATCATGAGAATCGCATCAGCCGCCTGAGGAAAGTTGACCTCCTTAGGCTTGATCCTATTGAGTGGAATGACGGTCACACGTCCCAGCTTCTCTCGTGTCATCACATCCAAGAGCTTCGTGGCGGTCTCATCCGTGTCCACGACAATGTGGAACAGGCTATTTTCAGTGATGTCTCCTGATCAGCTTGGTGTATTCTTGCGCGTCTAAAGTCAATCACCACGGTAGCTCACCTTTCGCCGGCAGTGGTCTCGACGGCGACCTTGTATTTTTCGTCGACCGCGAAGAGCTGATAGAGAGGTCCAAATACGCCTTCAAGTTTGTGACGCTTCACCACATCTTCGACCGCTTGCAAACCCAAAGCGGTCGCCTGGAAAGGAAGCACTTCAAGCATTGAGTGGCTAGCAATCATGAAGCCATGCCACTATGGGACTCACTCTGCCCATGGTACCAGCAAGAGCGCGCCTCGCCGAAGCGAGGTTTTCGCTTCCAAAAGTAGCGGTGGAGCTCAATTTGGTCTCCTCTTTCCAAAGTCCCCTGCCGAGCGTTCACACTTCGTCAGCAATTGGGCTTCTCCTGCCGCCTCAGCACGCCAGACCCACTTTTTCTGCTCTAGCAACTCCTCTCTTCTCGAGCTGAACTTCTCCCACTCCTGCGCCGCTTCGCGGTTGAAGATTCTTCTCTCCTCGAGCAGCGCAGCTTTAGCTTCGAGTCCGCTCCGAGCTTCCTGCAAGGCCGTGTTAGCGGCCTCTTGCTCGCTTTGCAGCTCAGCCTTGCGCCTCGTCTCTCTTTGCACGTGCTGCTGCAGCGAGTTTATCTCTGCTCGCAGAGCTGCATCACGAGCTGCTTGAGTAGTGTACGCAGTGCTACGTCCTTGACGACCCAACAACACGTTGATACGATTGCGAACCTGCTCGAGTCTACGCGACCGACATTTCGGATTCAGCGACGAAATCTCCAATCGCATCAT